AGTGACTGCCTCGACTTTGAAAGTGTGACAAGGGGATTACAAAAGTGTGACAATGGGATTGCAAAGTGTGACAAGGGGATTACAAAGTGTAACAAGGAGATTACAAAGTGTGACAAGGAGATTACAAAGTGTAACAAGGAGATTACAAAGTGTAACAAGGAGATTACAAAGTGTGGGGACAAGGGGGTTACAAAGCGTGACAAGGGGATTATAAAGTGACAAGGGGATTACAAAAGTGTGACAAGGGGATTACAAGTGTGACAAGGGGATTACAAAGTGTGACAAGGGGGTTACAAAGCGTGACAAGGGGATTATAAAGTGACAAGGGGATTACAAAAGTGTGACAAGGGGATTACAAGTGTGACAAGGGGATTACAAAGTGTGACAAGGGGGGTTACAGCGTGACAAGGGGATCACAAAGTGTGACAAGGTGATTACAAAGGTGTGACAAGGGGATCACAAAAGTGTGACAGGGGGATTACAAAGTGTGACAATGGGGATTACAAAGTGTGACAAGGGGATTACAAAAGTGTGACAAGGTGATTACAAAAGTGACAAGGTGATTACAAAGTGACAAGGGGATTACAAAGTGTGACAAGGGGATTACAAAAGTGTGCCAAAGGGATTACAAAAGTGTGACAAGGGGATTACAAAGTGTGACAAGGGGATTACAAAAGTGTGCCAAAGGGATTACAAAAGTGTGACAAGGGGATTACAAAGTGTGACAAGGGGATTACAAAAGTGTGCCAAAGGGATTACAAAAGTGTGACAAGGGGATTACAAAGTGTGACAAGGGGATTACAAAGTGAGACATGGGGATTACAAAGTGTGATGTCAGAGGTATATCCCAGCTTCTGGGTGTATATACACCAAGTATACTCTAGTCCTGGACGTGTTCAGGGTATACTCGGGGGCTGGTCAGTAAGGTGTTGTGTGGACTTAATGACCCTTAAGAGGTTGACAGGCCTTAAGTCCAACACCAATCTAAACTGATTTGAGGTTGTGGGTGTGACTGATGGACTAGCTCAGTTCTGGAGCAACAGCTGCGGGGTGATTGTGGTGGTGGTGGTGGTGTGGGTGGTGGTGGTTGTTGTGGTGGTTGTGGTGGTGGAAGTGGTGATGGTGGTGGTGGTGGTGGTGGTGGTAGTGGTGATAACAGCAGCAGGTAATACCACTGTAAATAATGGTTACTGTAGTTAACTGTAACATTAGCTAAGATGAAAATTGGGTCGTTAATATCTTTGTAATACTCAGTTCCTTTATTTCATAATGGTTCTCCAGTTTAGTGGCGTGAACAAATCCACAAGGGCCGTGACGAGGATTCGAACCTACGTCCGAGAGGATCCCAAACGCTGCCTTAATCGATTTCCCGGTTGCAATTCTTTTACCATGTCGTAGCTCAGTCGACTAAGGCAGCGTCTGGGATCCTCTCGGACGTAGGTTCGAATCCTCGTCACGGCCCTTGTGGATTTGTTCATTTGATACATCACGCTATTGTGATTCCTGTGTGTTAATGGCGTGTTAATTTTGTTTTTTTAATGATAGCTAGACAGCTCCCCTCCCTGTGTGTGTGTGTGTGTGTGTGTGTGTGTGTGTGTGTGTGTGTGTGTGTGTGTGTGTGTGTGTGTGGGTAATAACAGTTATACGAGCCCTGTTTTAACCGTGTTCAAAAAATATCAATAAACAAAGACAAACTTGCCAAACAGACAAGCGCAGGTAAGACGGGGCCTAACCAAGCAACACAATGGTTCAGACAACCAGGAAAAACAGGTTTTATTTTGTTATTTTGTAAAGGAAAAGCATTTCTTGGCACATGTGCCAAGCTTCCAAGAACCCAACAGATGTCACGGACAAAAGAATTTAATTTTAAAACTCTTGAAAAATGTCGAGAAGTTACTGAAATAGAATGACTTACAACACGCTTAAAACGTATGAAAGGGCTTGGAGGAGGTGAAGTGGAATGACTCTCAGTTTGTTTACCTTTTGCCGACCTCCTATTGGTCGATCCTTCCCGCCAAATTTATCAGCTGATATATTTGCTGACGTTCTATTGGCTCTTCGTTCTCGCCTAGTGAGTCGGCTGATAAATGTGGTCAGGAATATTTACTTCTTAATTTTGTATTTAAATCGCTAAGTGTGACAGATGATTACTTTTTCAGGAGACATTTGTGGCTCGTATTTTGTGCTGGGGAGTTAAGTACAAATATTGGTAATGTAATGTACTACAAGGGGCAGTGTTTTTCACCTATACTGAACACGTTCATCAATACTCGTTCATCAACAACTGCCCGTACTCATCAACAACTGCCCGTACTCATCAACAATAGCCCGTACTCATCAACAACTGCCCGTACTCATCAACAATAGCCCGTACTCATCAACAACTGCCCGTACTCATCAACAATAGCCCGTACTCATCAACAATAGCCCGTACTCATCAACAACTGCCCGTACTCATCAACAACTGCCCGTACTCATCAACAACAGCCCGTACTCATCAACAAATGTTCATTCCATGCAGCCGTCAAACACCTGTTTATTAATGAAAACACTTAACACAGGACTCCTGTGAACAAATGTGTAGTGTAGTGTAGTGGAGTGGTGTAGTGGTGTAGTGTAGTGGTGTAGTGTAGTGTAGTGGTGTAGTGTAGTGTAGTGTAGTGGAGTGGTGTAGTGTAGTGGTGTAATGTAATGTAGTGTAGTGTAGTGGAATGTAGTGACAGGACTCCTGTCTCCAGGGGAGACAATAGACGACCAACCCTAATGACTTATTCGTCAATTTTAACGAATTGTGTCTAGAAACCTTAATATTTTCTCAAATATGTTTCTATTATTTCATATTAGAATTTGTTGAATATTTGCCTAACTTAGGTTAGGTGTTTAGGTTCTGTTGGTCATTATTCAACCCGTCCTCGACTCAAGTTCATTCCATCCAGCGGTCGACCCCACAGACGAATTCATCAATTTGTATTTGCTGTTCATTCAAAACGGTAATTTTATCAAATATAAATTAATATTATAATATATTAGCATATTGTGCATATATAGGCATAGGTTAGGTGAGGTGTTTAGGTTCTGTTGGCGATTATTTGTATTTGTAGTACGTGGGTGAAGCATTTACAGCGTTGTGGTTCGAACACAAGTCGTCAGTGAAGCACTTGTTCCGGAAGTGTTCGAACGTCATCAGTTGTGAGTCGTGTGTAAACCGTTTTTCATTCATAAACAGCGGGTTTGGCGGCTGCATTAACGAGCTTGGATCTTTGAATGCGAGGACGGACTGCTCTAAATGCAGACCGTCTTCGCGTACAAACAAGCTCGTTAATCCGGCCGCCAAACCCCCTGTTTATGGATAAAAGTATTTATAAATGAACTGAGGACGTTCAAACTCCTCTTGAACATGACACACACTTGACACACTCTCTTAACGCTTTTCTTGTAATAGACAGTAAGGTAAACATTCTTATCCATGTCGTAGCTCAGTCGATTAAGGCAGCGTCTGGGATGCTCTCGGACGCAGGTTCGAATCCTCGTCACGGCCCTTGTGGATTTGTTCGTTTCAGTAAGGTAAAATTGATGACTGCATGAGTGAGTACAGCTTGGTGAGTATAGCTTGGTGAGTACAGCTTGGTGAGTACAGCTTGGTGAGTACAGCTTGGTGAGTACATCTTAGTGAGTACAGCTTATTGAGTACAGCTTAGTGAGTACAGCTTCGTGAGTACTGCTTGGTGAGTACAGCTTGGTGAGTACAGCTTGGTGAGTACAGCTTGGTGAGTACTGCTTGGTGAGTACAGCTTGGTGAGTACAGCTTGGTTATCTTATCTTGAGGTTATCTTGAGATGATTTCGGGGCTTTTAGTGTCCCCGCGGCCCGGTCCTCGACCAGGCCTCCACCCCCAGGAAGCAGCCCGTGACAGCTGACTAACTCCCAGGTACCTATTTACTGCTAGGTAACAGGGGCATTCAGGGTGAAAGAAACTTTGCCCATTTGTTTCTGCCTCGTGCGGGAATCGAACCCGCGCCACAGAATTACGAGTCCTGCGCGCTATCCACCAGGCTACGAGGCCCCTCGTACAGCTTAGTGAGTACAGCTTTGTGAGTACAGCTTAGTGAGTACAGCTTGGTGAGTACAGCTTGGTGAGTACAGCTTGGTGAGTACAGCTTGGTGAGTACAGCTGGGTGAGTACAGCTTAGTGAGTACAGCTTGGTGAGTACAGCTTGGTGAGTACAGCTTAGTGAGTACAGTTTAATGAGTACAGCTTGGTGAGTACTGCTTAGTGAGTACAGCTTAGTGAGTACAGCTTTGTGAGTACAGCTTAGTGAGTACAGCTTGGTGAGTACAGCTTGGTGAGTACAGCTTGGTGAGTACAGTTTGGTGAGTACTGCTTGGTGAGTGCAGCTTGGTGAGTACAGCTTAGTGAGTACAGCTCAGTGAGTACAGCTTTGTGAGTACATCTTAGTGAGTACATCTTAGTGAGTACAGCTTACTGAGTACAAACAGGTGAACACTAGCACACAAATCCCCACACCCGCTTTAATACCTACACATATGTGTACACACACCTTAAGTAATTAGAACCTACACATATGTGTACACACGTCTTTATGTAATTAACATTAATAGAGCATTTCCTCACTCATTCGACTTCCGGCGCCTGGAAGTCGGTTAATCCCCTCCCCCCATTAATTCCCCCCATTAATCTCCCCATTAATCCCTCCCCCCCCACCATGAACCACGCACAGTTCTCCCACAACTGGTTGATGACGTCTGTCTGTCTGTCTGTCTGTCTGTCTGTCTGCTGTCATGGCTACCAGCCCATGACACTTGACTCAGAGGACCACCTGTGTGACACAGAACACCACCTGCGTGACACATAGGACCACCTGTGTGACACAGAACACCACCTGCGTGACACATAGGACCACCTGTGTGACACAGAACACCACCTGCGTGACACAGAGGACCACCTGTGTGACACAGAACACCACCTGCGTGACACATAG